CATTGGCCACCAAAGACTGAAGGGAAGGTAAAGGATACGTAGTCAGACGTAGTCTCAGTGTACTTAACACGCTCTTTTATGATGGAGGAGAAAGAGGAACTCTCACATTCCTGCGAATCTCACAAACTTTCATCAAAATTTGTTTTTCCTGTTTCGTTTGTTTCGCTGCTTATTTGCCTTACTGCTCTAGTCCGAGTAGAGATCATAAACCAGCGAGTTCATGCTATTGAAGATTTGATAGCGGAAGTACATGTACATCAAGCATCGAATCAAGAAGCTGCCAAAGGTGGTTTATACTTAGTCAAGTCTGTTGGTAGTCTTGGATATAACCAGAATACAAAACATCAATGGAAGGAATACACAGACGGTAAAGTGAACACATTAATTTTACTACGCTACAAATTTAGCATTATTTTTCGTTGAAAAATTTCTAGCCAAGATTTCATTTAATCAAAAAATGATTAAATTAAGTTGGAGTCCTTAATTCAATATTTTTTTGAGAAATTTTGGATGATTTTTCGAATGTTTTTAATGTGTGGAAAGAACTTAGGGGGAGGGGTGTTTAAAATTTTCGAAAAATTGGAAAACATTGGATTTGGGGATTGTTTTAAAACATGAAGTGAATAATTAGTAGACAGTTACCAAATAGTCCACCACCACAACAAAGTGCCTCTGATCCAATTAGCGGGCTAACTGGTTTGTGTGTATACCTTTTCTACCCTACATGTAATTTATTTCCTTCTCAAATCATCATCATTTCCTCCCAAAAACAAGGTGAATGGCCTTCAGATCATGAAGCTGATTGAAATTGTCAAAGGAGATTGAGGCTACGAAAAATAGCTTAACCTGGGGAGTGAAATGGAAAAAATTAAACTTCAGAAAATCGTAAGAATTTATTAGGTAAGCTTCGAACTGATTGTACATGCATGGAACGGTCATCTAGAAATGTTTAGACTTCCTCAACCTATAGAAAATTCTAGGCAGTTTTTGTTTCTCCGATTCAATTACCTTCGTTCGTCTCAGCAAGGCGTGCTTGGCATGCGATAGCAGGTCTCTTTACGATTCTGGTCAACAGCCGACAGCCGGAAGAATTGGTTTACACTGATCTCGCGTTAATTCCAGGCTGCAGACGACCATTAAGTGGTGATTTTCAAATGGCTACGGTTACTATCAAATTCCAAAACAGTCTCAATTGGTATATTTGACTCACTTCGACCAGTTATCAATGCTGATTAAATCCGCTGAAAACCCAAGCCATTTTTATCATCTTAGTAGCTTTAGTAATCAAGCATGTTCAGCGTGTCTTACCCAAATTGCACGCTAAGCGTGCTATAATTCGCACACTTACCGTGACATATGGCACGCTACAAAAAAACAAAAGGTCTAGCATGTTAAATTTACCAAAACAAAGGCAAGTGTGTCCGTCTTTGTTTTTTCAATTTAATATGCACATATCCGTGATCTACGTCACGCTAAGAGTGTCGTGCAAGCGTGTCGTGAGCGTGCTTTCACCTTTAGCATCAAATTCCTGTGGAGGGTCACATTTTTACATGTGTATGGACATGACTTGTCTTATTGTCAATTCGCGTCAACGTTGCGGTTGGGATAAAATGCCAAAGAATATAATTTCAAAAGCATTTCGACATTTTTCTAATAATGGAATTCAACAATGGCGACCGGAGTATTGTGTACGCATGTATTGTTGATCTCGTTGATACTCGGATGAGGCGTCGTGCCCGGGTAAGTAGGGAACTTAAGAACCACGACGAAGTTCACGACGACGACGTCTGTTGACTGGGAAAAGATTGGAACGAGAACGTCAGTTTCGGCAGGAAAAAGGAAACTTAAGATGCAGTCGGTAGGTAGGTCGACGACGACGACACTGAATGTAAACACAAATGTAAAACTGTGATGTTCGTTCGCAACAAAGTTTTTTGCAATGGCGTCTTTTAAAACAATGGAAGATCTTATTATTTAAGCCGTACGTTTAATTTCATTGACGATGTAGAATTTTTTTGTGTTGTCTGGCCTTTTCGAGTGGAAAAACACCTGCTTTCCGTAAGAAGATTATTCAACTTTCAACCTGAATGAGATGAACGAGTGCGACTGTCTGTCAGAGTTTAGATTTGGAAAAAGAAACATTCTGATGTGATAGCTGTTTTCCATATAAAGTTTATTTCCTCTATAGTAATTAAAGCTATATGATTTGCCTTACCTAAATACGTACAAATAAATTTAACACTTACGAGTTCGCTCGCTTGGCCTCCACAGCTGTTGTGTCATTTTTCGAAGTAAAAACAATTCACTCGTCGAATTTTCAATCAACATCGCTTGTTAGGAGAAAAAAAGAACGATACCTGGATTTACGAGGATAACAAAATGCAAAGGACTTCAAAAGTCGTTTAAAACAGTGGATTTATACCTGCCGAAGCTTGTGGATTGCTGGACGACGTGATTCTACTTTGTTTGGCGTCGTCGAGGACGAAATTTACTGGTCGCGCTTGCGCAGTACACTGTAACTCACTTCCGGTCGTCGGATGCCGTGGATTTCGAGAGAGTTTTTACGCCTGTATTGCTCCAATTCTTCCAGATCAAAGTCAATTCTATCTTTTTCCTCGGTGACTGTTTGTAATTTCTGCTTGGTAAATTGGAGCTCCTTTTTTAACTCTGCAATCTCTTTTGAACTTTGTTCCAACATGGAGTCCAGCTTCTTCCACTTAAGCATTTCGTCTTTGAGAGTTGTTTCTAAATGCATTACCTCCTCTCTTAGGCTAAGATTCTCCTGTTTCAACGTCGATAAGGTTTCTTGAATATTGGATAGCATCCCTTTTAATTCGGTTAGACTCGTCTCAGGTTCGGAGCTGTCGTGGGAAGGAGAAGAAGGAGAAGCCGTTGCGTTGCTGGAGTCCGCCATGTTTGGACGTTTCGCGTCGTTCGTTTCGTCTTCTCCAACAGATCCTCTGGCTCCTCGTTTGTTTTTCCACCGCTTTTCGTCATTTACACTAGGTTGATTATATTATCATGTAAGATTCTACCTTCATTTCTCACAGTTCCAGGCACATTTAGGAAGGGAGCGCTCCGCTTCAAAATACACGTCCGAACCGTTTGCACTCACGCATGCTCTCTCTTTGTGCGTGTTTGGCGTCGTCGACGACACCACGACGACAACAAATTTCCTGGTCGCGCTTGCGCAGTACACTGTAACTCACTTCCGGTCCTCGTCGACAAAGTCGTCGTCGTGGTTCTTAAGTTCCCTAGTATATGGAAAAGATTTATTGGATCTATAAGCGGTATGGAAACGTTTCAGCGATCGGCTCGCTTCGGGTCGAAACCGTCGGAGCCAGCTTCCTGTAAAAGTGACAATAAGTCAATTCAATCCAGTATTTGTTTAATACGACTAACAATTAAATGTATTTTATCGGTAGATAACATTCAAAGGTTGAGAACCCGTCGTTTGGCTTCTGACAGTCTAGTAGATCAAAGGCTCACTATCGAAGTAGTCAAGAGAGAGATAAACAAGACCTTACTTTCACTGACACCACAAGTATTTTGTTCAAAGAATGAAAAAATATGTTTGCATGGTCCGCCCGGAAGGCAGGGTCCTAAAGGATCACGTGGTCGAAGGGGTCCTCGTGGAGTCACAGGAAGAAAAGGCGCAAGGGGAGAAACAGGGGATCCAGGGCTACTCGGGAAACAAGGACCTGTTGGTCCACCCGGGCTGAAAGGAGAGCAAGGTGTTAAAGGAGAACCGGGACCTAGGGGATTGCCTGGTGCGAAGGGAGAACCGGGAGAATCAATTTCATCCCCAGTGGTTACGATATCACCTACGAAACTAACTGTCAGGGAGAACCAGAATGCGGTATTCCAGTGTTCCGCGACCGGAAATCCACGACCAACGATCACGTGGTCACAGGCCCATGGGTCTGGCCTGTCGGATAGCCTCCAATTTGAGCCAAATGGAAAACTGGTGGTGCGTAAGGTGACTCTTGCAGACTCTGGAAGATACATCTGTGCTGCAAGGAGTGCACTTGGTTCGGCAAACATCTCCGCTAGTCTGCAGTCCAAAACAAAGGCAAGTGTGTCCGTCTTTGTTTTTTCAATTTAATATGCGCATATCCGTGATCTACGGCACGCTAAGAGTGTCGTGTAAGCGTGTCGTGAGCGTGCTTTCACCTTTAGCATCAAATTCCTGTGGAGGGTCACAAATATTTTTAGCCAAGGCTCTGTGTTTTTGCATTTTTTGTCGTCGTTTATAATTATCAGGATAGCCGTAAGCTTCTTTATTAAAAAATACTTTATGATATGGCTTGTAATTGCACAACTGCCAACCGTTTATTGTTCCTTATTAATTTTCTGGATGTTTAGGTATGCTTTAGAGGATTTTTAGAAATCACTGAGCCACATGTGTTTTTAAATAAAGTTTCCATACTAGCCATAAACAAGAAAGCCTTTCGCTTCGAAGGTTATGTTGTCTGTTTTGTCTCTGTTTATACTATTTCCTGTTGTCTTACATGTCGCGCTGGTATATGAAATTATTTTTATCTTTGATCTATTTACCACTTTTCTTTTGCCGCATCATGACAAAGGTTAGGGGGTGGAAAACGCTGATATTTTAGGCTATAGCTTTACGTGAAGTCACTAGATCTAAAATATTACTTTGATCGTAAATGTATTAACTGAATTTCTTCCTCTCAATGTAACTGCCATGTTTTGTCTCGGGTTTTGTCACGCCGAACCACTAAGACCGCAAATGGTGTAAATTTTATTTGGCCCAATTACCAGCCGCTGTCAGACAAACATTGAAACTTTTAATATAGAAGTTCAACATACAGGGATTTTACCTTCAAAAAATTAACTCGCTTGTGTATAACTCAAGATCGTAGATCTTTAGCGATTGGTGTCATCGGTTAAACCGGCGACAACGCTAGTTTTTGATTCCTTCTCTGGTAATTCCCTCGTTTATCTGATAGTTTTGTTTAGGCAGAAATTTCCTTTAGTTTCAGTTATAGCTGTAGTAGGGTTGGCAAATCTATCTTGCTGTTGCGATCACTGCGTGAACGTCGCGAATAAACCAGACAAAAAAATGTGAGACAAAGGACTCCTCCCTCAGAAATAATTTTGTTCTGGAGCCACGTGACCAGCGTTTTCCAGGGTCTCTCTCTCTCGCTCCATAGGGGCGGGTAGGAGAGAACCCTGGGAACGAGGTTGGACTAGGACTTGGGCTTGAAGGACTGGCCTTCGGCCGCCATCTTGGATTTTCATGACTGAGGACATTTCATGATCACTACATGAATTAGTGTGCTGAGGAGGCCACTGATACTACTGACCACTAAACATTTTTTCCATCGCTGCAATCAGTTAAAGCACAGAAAAGAGTGTAACACAGGATGTGGATAGTATTTCTGACAGTGTAGTATCTCGGAGCAGGCAGAAATGTAACTATTTTATATTTTGCTTGCACGGATCAGAGGACTGGTTCGGCTAGGAGGAATTATAGGGTAGTTTTCTGAGATATGTAGGGTTGTTCGTTGTAAATTCGAATTAGTCTAGGTGAGCATTTATTCGAGCCTCTAAGTTATATTTCATTTGTTAATTTTGTTGTATTTTGTATGAAGTCATTTGGCAGTCGTTAGTTTCTTTGTACCCCTGCCAGTCTTCCCGCGAGGTGTCGGCACCGCAAGGGTGACCTACAGGCCCCTCCTTGTAACTATTGTTTTATGTGTTTCTTTCGAGGTAATGTGGGAAAAATGAACCACTGTTGTTCTTACTGATACTACCTTGAATAAGTAGATGCAAGAGAGAATGAGCTAAGAGAGTGAATCCCTGTGCCCCATGATGTATATTTTTAATCTATTTAAAGTTCGCACGCGTGCTGCGTAGGTTGTTTTTGTCTGTTGTTTCCTTGACCCGCGTGGTCTTCTTTCATGTGAGCGTGACATGTTTTGCCACCAAACATTTGAAGTTTGACAGCCATTATAGTACTTATCACCAGGAGCCGATACTAATCGGCTCTTGTTGTTGACATGATGTTTTTGATCAGCGCGTTCCGCTCATAATCTAGGAATGAATTTCATTTACAAAGGGATTGCAGTATTGGAGTCAACATTTCACTTTGAGATTAAAGGCTGAGATTTTCGAACGGCTGGTAGCCATTTAAAGTAACGAATGTTGAATTCTGACACACCGTGAAAGCCAAAGGCAAAGGTTATCACGCGCGAAACGCGTAACCTTTAATAGGTGGCTTGCTTCAATTGTTTATGCAAATGTGCAAGATATTTTTTCTCCTTTTCCAGGAATGTTTTTCGTTCAGAAACGGTACATTTGCTTTTATGATTTATTCTTGAGATTTTCAAACTGCATTACTTCTTCTTAAGGTCTAATACTTGCGATGAATATTTCCCCCTGCGAACACAAATCAGGTCAAGTGCTTCAAGCCGTTAGACAATGGCTACCTGCATGCCAGAGACTTTTTATGCGCGGTGTCCGGTTTCGGTCGCGAGCGGTGTGCCCACATTTGTCTAGCGCCCTCTCAAAATCAAAATGTTTGGCGGCCAAACATTCATGTTTAAACCCACTTTGAACCTATTTCCTCGTTACGTGTCCACGGTTGGATCCAAACGACGGTATCACAGCTCGCGTGTGTGCATGGATGTCGCCGGAAGAGACAGTTGCCGTTTTTGTACAATGTCTTTATACTAATGTAGCGAAAACCTCAATTAACAATTTCAGTATAGTCGGAACCGCTTTCTCTGGCGAACTTCCACAAGCCAGGACCATTTTGCTCTTCGGCATCTACTCTGACCAGATTTTTGTCTCGTCGGCGAAAGTAATACCAAGTTTGCACGTCATATCGCTTGCTGTGCGTGATCGGTAGTGAAATGAATTACCCGCCAAGTTTAAGATTACATGACGCCACTCTAACCGACCCATAAGGTGGCGCCCTTAAAATAACCACGCAGTATGACACAGAACCAAGAATAGATTGAAAATAATGTTCATGGGAAGAAGGTCATGTATGGGGGATTCGCTCTCTTAGAACATTCTCTCTTCGTGGATGTTTGGTTGACTCTTCTGATTTGTGAGAAAGGTGCTTTAGCTTGGAGCTTGAACGGTGCAAGTACAAAACCAAATAAAAAGAAAAGTCTGTGCTATCTTTCTTTCAAACTCGATCAACTCAGCTATTTCGGTGTCCAATATTACTTGGTATCTTGCTATAGTTACAACGTACATGGCATAATATCATGAATAAGGTTTGCCCCACTTTCTAGTAATACGCCGTTGTTTCAACTGGGATACGTATATACATTGGTGTGGCAAAGTTCTGCCATTTTTACCTCCGCGTCGTTTCTTTTCCACGGTATTTAATTTGTGGACGTAGTAGGAATTCAGTGATTTCGATGGATGTTATTTTCTCAACAAACCTTCAGTGGTTATTTATACTCCACCCAATATTTTCCTCCGACGGCTATATATACAGCGTTCCGAGCATAAAAAAGAGCTTTCACTCGTCCCCAAAATACTCCTGCTTTGCAGGCCAACGTACTCTAGCCTCCACTATCACAAAATTTAAGCTGCCCAACGCTCCCAACCCTCTAAGACTTAATTACTCGTTAAGCTCCTGTGTCATAAACCATTGTTTATAAAAAAAAATTCCCTCGATATAGTCACTGTCTTAAGTAACGAAACTGGACCATTATTTCTGCATTGAAGTCAATCGATGCAAACGAAGTTTCAGGTTTGTATTCATATAGCAAACAGCCTGACCATACATAATAGCTCCTTAAAAGCAATTCTTGCAATGCAAGTACCTAGTCAGTGTGTTTGCTTTATATCTTTGTGTTGGCTTTTTAAATGTGGATTTTTTGACTAACAGTTTCGACCTAATGCCAAAAAAAAAAAAACAAAAAAACAATAAGGTTACAATACAACCGAAACTTTCCTAGTGTTCATTGATTTGCTTACCTTCTTAAACTCAATTCGAAGTTTTCCTGATGTTAGCTAAGCAGACCCGTAGCAAGCATAAAATGACTGGGGGGCTTAGCGAGTGGCCCTCATTAACTTCCCCCCGCTTTGGTCCCTCGGTTAAAGCATACTTCTTGGTACATGTCAGATCACTACATTTGTCTACAATACCTTTTGTTCTTGTCTCTAATTTTCCGTTTGTGTTGACCTTGAAGAAATAGAGAACTTGTTTGGGATATCGTTCGCGGAAAATTTGCCAAACAATTGCTTTCGGGTTGTTCTTTGATTCGGATTGTTTCTTCGACTACACCAGGCTCTGTGTCACTAGTGCATGGTTTTACCCACGATAAAAGTGTTCCCTGCTTATTTTCGACTAGTTTAGATTTCTTTTCGGCGACTGTTGCGAAGACATTGTAAGACTTTCAATATAAACGCGCAAAAACCTAAGTTTTACTCTAGTACAGTGGAATATTTTACTGGCAGACTTCTTAGGAAACCAATAAAGTTCAAGAGGTCAAGTTCAGGAATTGTCATTAATGAATTTCGATCCATTTTGTAGCCTACGAGCAAGCTCTCCTATTTGGGCAAGCAAAGCGAGCCTCGCGAGAACGCGAAAGCGAGGGGCCTCTGCCTCTCGCAGCTTCGCCGCTCGCTCGCGCGTTCTCGCAAGACTCGTTTCACTCGCCCAAATAGGAGAGCTTGCTCGCAGGCTATCCATTTTGCTTCTGACTATTTTGATGCTTACTAAGCAGATACTTTAAAGCTGTTGGTTGTTTTTGGCAGAGCAAAAATACGATTTCGTTCTGATTTACACAATTCCAAATTGCACAGAAAAACAACAGTACATAATCTTACTATGATCGACAATACTTTCAAACTTTAGCTTCCATTGACAGCTGTCCATTTTAGTAGAAAAATTACACTTTTGTAGCAGAATTTAATTTAAGTCTGAAAATTTCTGGGGGGAGAAGGTGGGGGGGGGGGGGGGGGCGGGTGTGAATGTGGTTGTTTAGGCGGGGGGGAGTGAGTGGTGGTGGGAGGTGGGGGGGGGGGGGGGGGGGGGGGGGGGGGGGGGGGCTCGAGCCCTCCCTGCCCTTCCCCTGCTACGGGCCTGCTAAGCGCTGGAAAATCAAGTTAACGCGG